AGAACTCAGTGAGATTTATGGGAAGCAGAGCTCACTCATTCAGAGCCAGCTTCCCCCCTGCAGCATGGCCTCCCGGTCACAGAGTGAACGTAATTTTCAGGGGAACATATTCTGAGTGATAAATAAGGAGTCTTTCTTGATACTGTCAGTAGAAAACAATTATGTAGAAGAATTGTGTGGTTTGAGACAGGCATGCTTTCCACTACAATGAAACTTGCAAACAAAATGTGTTCAATAGAAAGATTCAGAGGAAGATAACATGAGAACACTATTGGTAATGCCAGGAAGCATGGAGACAATGTACTTTCAGATAATGCTTTCTCTGAGTAAAGCTAGAAAAGCCAGGTTAAAAAGAGATCTATTTGAAGGCATTGGGGAATTACTGAGACATTTCAGTGGCACGAGGTTTGAGAGAAATGCATGCAAAGGCGAAGCTGCCAGAGAGAGTTGCTGTGTGAGTCACATCTGACTGCCCAGGGCAGAGGCTGCTCCTCCCTGGCCTATCTGCTTTCCGACAGCTCCAGGGGTCCCTGAGGAAGGCTGCTCCCGGGGTCATCCACCTCAGGGGTGTCCTGCAGAGCCCGCTGGAGAACCTGCCGCAGGGTCTGCCGCCCTTCCTGCTTCCGCTGCCTATAGGAGCCCGCAAAGAAGTAAATGACGGGGTTGGCGCTGCTGTTGACAGACGTCAGGAACATGGAAACTACAGGTAAATAACATTTGACTTGAACATCATGCTGCATCCATGAATATGAGAGCCAGGCAATGCCCAAGGGCAGGGCACAGAGGAGGAAGACCAGCACTGTGAGCAGGATGGTCACATACAGCCTGGTCATCCGCATCCGCCCGGAACCACATAGGAATCTGAGGAGCAGGGCCAGGCTGGAGCTACAGAGAACCACAAGCAAAATAATCACCCACGCAGCTGCGATGATTTTAGATGTCTTACAAGCATAATGGTCACCAATGTGCAGAAATACACAGAAGAGATTCATGGTGCTTGGCAGGAGGGCCATGGCCCAGAGCAGGCCACACACAACAGCTGACGTGTGTGTCGGACGGTGGCAGCGGTACCAGATGGGCCACAGGACAGACACGCAGCGCTCGGCGCTGATGGCGCTCAGCATGCTCAGGCCTGCAAGGTAGGAAAAAGCCAACACATAGATGAAAACAAAAGGGATGAAGAAGGGATAATGGAAGAACTCAGTGAGATTTTTCAGAGATTGTATCATTGGGAAGCAGAGGATGAGGAAGTCGGCCACCGCCAGGTTGAGGATGTAGACGGAGAAGGTGTTCCTGC